AAGCTTTTTTGGGGGGCACGAGGCTGAGGCCTTGCAAACTCAGGGCATGGCTTGGCGCTGACCCCGACTCCCTCCCTCGGTCCCTGCAGACACCCAGACCCTGTGCTGCCACCTGGGCTGCCGCCTCTTCCCCAATGGCACGGCCCACAGCTTCTACGAGGTGACCCTCAACGGGACGGCTTTCCTCAGCTTCCACGTCCCCAATGCCACCTGGCAGCGACGCTGGCCCGGTGCGGACCCGGTGGCCGCCTTCGCCGAGAGGGAGCTGATGAAGTACCCGCTGACCACCCAGGACCTCCAGTATTTCCTCAACACCACCTGCGTTGGCATCCTGCGGGCTCAGAGCCCTTGGACAGGTCTGTGCCAGGGCTGGGCAAGGGGAGGGAAAGGGTGGCATGGTGGAGATGACCCCAGTTGTCACCTCCACCCCTCTCGCCTCTTGCAGGGAAACGGAGCAGCCGGTCGCACACCCCGCTGGTGCTGGGCTTGATCCTGGGGACCCTCACCTTGCTGGGCATGGCCGTGGGGATCTTCTTGTGCACGGGAAGGAGCTGGTAGCGGAGCTGGCAGCTGGCCCACGTCACCCCGAGGAGGCAGGGGATGGACCCTATGCCACCCGTGGAGGCAGGGGACGGATCCTGCATCACCCCGCGGAGGCAGGGACTGAGCCTGTGCTCTGCCAGGGCTGTATCCTGCCCTGGCACCACAGGCTTTGCTCCCGAAGGACGCCGGTGGCTTCCCTGCCCGCTCCTGGCTGGGTTGACCCCCTGCACCCAGCAGCAGCACCCTGCCCCGGGGACGGTCCCCACGCCGGGCTGGCACGGTGCACTGGGACTTAGCACAGAAACACGCTTGGCATGGATGGAACAAATGGGGAAGAAGGGTGGGATGGGAGGAGAAATAGCCAAGAAAGGGTTAAAGGGTGGCATCGAACCCCCCATTTATCCCTGTTCCAGTGGGGATAAATGCCAGGGAGGGGGGATGTCGTGCCTTGGTGGCACTGCTTCCAGATGTCCCCCAATAAAACTGCTCTCACCCGGCGTCTCGTTGCTCTCCTTTCCCACCAGCAGCGCCCAGCTGGGGCGGCAGGGCCCTCCCAGTGGCCACAGTTGCCAGTACTGGGTGGGGCGGGCGGGCTGGCCGGTGTTGCCACCCCTTGCGTGGGACCCCGAGCCGTGCAGCGAGTTTGCACGGCCTCTCGAGAGGGGCTGGTGGGGTCTGCACGTCCTGAACTCGTCTCAATCTGCCCCTTTCACTCAATTAAGTGATTTTATTTTATTTTTTCCCCAATGGCCACGTGGCGACGCTTCATTAATTTTTAATTTCCTCATCTTTGGATGAGAGGGCAAGCAGGGGCAGCTGGAGCGGGACAGGTTTTTCCCAGCAGATCGAGGTGTTCACGACTGTCCCAGAGAGATGCTGCCCACAGGGATACGGGGATGCACTGGGGACCCCGAGGTGAGAAACTGCTCCCCAAGGACCAGCTAAAGAAACACGGAGCTGTAGGACTGGCACCGTACGCCGAAATTCTCCGCTTCGTTTTCCTTTTCCGCTAAAAATCCCCGCTTTGACTGTTCAGACTTTGGTTATATTAGTAATAAATTCTTGGCTGTGTTTCCCTTTCGCCCAGAGCAAGATTTTGAGCGTGGTGTCCACCCCCCTCCTCGTGTTCCTCTCCACTGCCCCGTGGGCAAGAAGGGCTGGGGATGAGCCAGGAGCTGGCTCGGGCCACCAGAAAAGGGGACAACACGAGGAGCTTTCCTGGATTAACTTCCAGCTCCTTTCTTTCTAAACACTTAAAAAAAAAAAAAATCCCAAAAAAAGGATGGGCTTTGGGGGAGATGAGAAAAGAGATGCAGGGCAGAAAGGGGATGGGAAGATGACATAGAGGTCATCCGTAGCGAGGGATGGAGGAGAAGGAGGTCTCCAAAGACCACATCTCATCACCCTGGCTGTGGGCCACCCCTCTGAGCAGCCCCAGGGCAGAGGGGCCGGGGCGATCTCCACCCTTCAGCGGGCTCGTTCGCAAAAGGGAAGTGTCAGCCAAGAAGCCAGAGGATCCAAAACAACGAGGCTGAGGCACGTGGACGTCCTCACTTGGCCTCCGAAGAAGCCGAGCGTGGTGTGACCCCACCACGGGCATCAGGGGGACACGAGGCTGATGCTGTAGGTCCAACATGGTACGTTTGCCCCTCAACGAAGGGATAAAACCCACTTGTAGCCACATTCCGGAGGGGAGAAACCGCTGCGTTCCCGCTCCGCTTGGGTCTTCCGACTCGGGGCGTCTCGGCCACCTGCACGTGGAGGCAGATGTTGCACTGTGGTCCCAGGATCTTCGTGTTTCCCCAGGACCAAGCCTCATGCCGAGTCTCCTGGGGCTGGTCAGCTCCTTGCTCCCCGTGCGAGAGCGATGCTCCGAGGCTGGGACACGGGCTGGCAGCAGGGACGGCACCCGGGAGAGATCCAGGCTGGAGAAAGCGAGGAGGTCTGGAACAACAGGGCTTGTTTTTGCTTTTTTGCTTCTGAAATGCGTCATCTTTTGGACAGATGAGGAAGTCTCCGCTTTAAAACGCTCTTGGAAAAGCCTTTTTCCTGCCCCCGGGCCCTCTGTGTGTCGGTCGCAGCGGGGGAGCGCTCCAGAAAGGAGCCAACTTCACCGCTGTCCTGCTGAGCCTCCACCAGTGATTGCATGTGGATGGGGCAGCACCAGCAGAGGGGATACCCCCGAAAACACCCAATCCCGAAAAACAGCCTCATCCCAAATCATGTCCGTGGGCAACACGCCCAAAGCTGCCACCCCCGCCCTCCCAGGGCCACCTCCCTGGTAGGGACCAGCACCTGACGTGGGCACGATGGCCAAGAGCAGAGGGGTTGTGGCAATAGCATCCACCTCCCTGCCCTGCACATTGTAGCCCCAAAACGACACAGCCCCATCCCAAAACCCCCAAAATATCTCATCTCCATCCCCAAACCCCCAGACTTCCTCATCATGAGGCCATCAACGCTTGGTGGCCACTTGTTGTTGGTGTCCTTGGTTGTTGGCCACTGGGGACATGTGGCCCAGCTCTCTTCCCACCACTGCTCCAACACGTACCATCTCTCCAGCAGCTGGTAGCCACATCCATGGCCAATCCTCTCCCAAATTTGGCTGCTCCTCCTTGATCACAGCTCGGGCCAGGCACCAACACTTAACCACGTATCCTGTCAACCCAGGATTGATTTTAATTTGCTCCTCGTCTTTTTGGTTGGTGGTTTGTTTTTTTTTTTCCTTGCTTTCTGCAAGAGGGTGAACCAACCCGCACACAGACCTTTGGAGGCTTCAACCCAGCATCTTCCCCCCAGAGCAAACCCCTCTGGTCACCCCCATGGATCAACATGCGAGGCTCCGCGTTCCCGGCGCCGCCTGGTTTCCATCACTCAGCTCCGCTATCGCCGGTTTGGATAAGGGGTGAGATAAGACGCCCAACCTTGAACGTTGTTCCAGTTGAGTAAGACGATGCCGATGTGCTACGAAGCGGTTTTCCCGTGTCCACATCCCACGGGTGCTTCCGATGGGCTGGAAGCACCACCCATCCCTCCGCTGCCTTTCGGACATCAGCTCCCGCATCAAGGTCGGCATGTCCGGCCGGGTCCTTCGGGAGCTTCCAGCAGCTCACACGGCATCGTGGGCTCCGTACTCTGGCTGGCAGCCACGGGGCAAAGGGCTGGATGGCTCCAGGAGCTGCCTGAAAACAGCGGTGGGCTCCTGCGCCTGCTCAGATGGGGATGGAGAAGGCAGCAGCTGGGAAAAAAAAAATTGGGGTGATGGTATCAGTGTTCATCATGAAAATGGGTAGCACCAGATTCGAGTCTCCGGGGCCAGGATTATCCTTATAAACACCCCTTACGCACTTGGAGCCCGTGCTGGGGTCGGCATCGCTTTTCTGGACCAAACAAGCTCTGTTCTTCTCAATGTCCCCCCAGGTCCCAGCATCAGAGCCCCAGATGTTCTCGTTTCTGGCATTGCCCAGTTTCAAACATCTTTTTATAACCCTGGGGGCCGCAGTGGGGCAAAGGGATTTGCAACACGCGCAGCCTCCGGCCAGCCCTCCCGGAGACAGGAATGCTTTGATTTTGTTGGGGTTTTTTTGGGCAACATAGTTTTGGGGGTGGAGGCTGGATCTGCTTCCCAGCAGCCTCCTGCTGCTGGACAAGAACAGGCAGGTCCCTGGAAACATTTAATGGCAGAGGAAAGGGCTGTGCTGGTGAGTCCCTCCTCGTAGGGCGTATGGGTGCCCAGGACCCATCACTGCCCTCTTCCCTTTCCTCTCACCTCCCAGGTCAACGTGCCTGACCGAGCTGGAGGAAACAGGAGGAGAAAGCTGGCTGCTGGCCACAGTCAACACGGAGCAGGGCTACGTGGCAGTCAGGATGGAGGGAGGCCACCAGTCCCACCCATCACACCTCCCACTCTGCCCAACTGGGCTGACCCCTCCCTGGGGAACTCTTGGGTCTGAGCAAGCCATGCCTTGCAAGATGCTCCACCTTCAGCAGCAGGAGCATCCCATGGTCACTGGCTTGACACCACGGGAGCAGCGACGGGGGCTGCCATCCTGATACCACATTAATGATTCCAGCGAGGAATTGTTGCTTCACCTTCTCTGCCAGGTCCCCACCACCAAGGTCCTGTATTAAGGACCATTGCAAAGGTGCCTTCAGGAGAGCAGTCTTCTCCTGGCATCAGTCGCTTCTGCCCTCTTATCTCTGCTGCCTGTCTCTCAGAAACAGGGAAGTTTATCTATAGATAAGCACTTTAAAATAACAAGTTATTTGGGAAAAAAACCACCAAGCCCGCCTGCACTGTACTTGCAGAGAGGTTTCCATGGAGAACAAATTGTTTGGGAACACTTTCACCCCCTGCCTGGACTCGAGGAGGAGGGGGGATGCTCCGTGCAAGCAGTGCCACTTGCCGTGGTGAGAAACAAGACCACAGTGGCCCTCTGCGTGGCTGAAACCATCGGGAACAAACCACCCCCTTGGGCCACTCTGCTCCCCAGGACCCACCTACCTAATGCTGAAGCGCCTGTGTGTGGGTCCAGAAGTTCAACATCCAAAGCAGCGTGGGCAGCAGGGCGAG